TTATGATAATCATGCAATAAGCAGATTTTATAAAAATAATTTGAACATAGTGAAATAATCAACATTTTATACAGTACCTAGAACCACCTTTTAGATCCCATCTCAATGGCAAGGACTGTATCTTTTTCATCCCTGTATCCCCAGTGCCTAGCACAGAGCTTGGTTCTTAAAACGTAATGAAGGAATATTTAATGAATAAAAATATAAGAATATAAAGTTGGTTTGACAAACCAATGGTTTAGATTCAACCTCATTTTAGGTATCCTGCAGAAAAGTGTTCTTGCCAACACGAATTTCTCTCCCTAAAGCATATTCACTCATATATAAGATGGTTGTGGGTTATTTTCATCTTTCCATTAAAGTACCTTGATAAAACTGTTCAAACATGTAAAAAAGAAATTTAATTCTAAAATTATCTTTGAATAATTTGTTAAAGTATAACACAATGCTTGAAGGCTAATGAAATAAAGTATCTTTTACCATCTTTTTCTGCAACAGCTCCTAAGGTATATAACGCTGCTTCTTTTACCACGCTATGTTCACTTGATTTTGCAAGATTTTTTACAAACATCAAACCACCAATTTCCCGAAAATAAATACTTGCATTACCTGTAGGGTGTGCAGATAAAACATAAATAATACTTGGTTATTCTTTTAAGAATAAATCACAGAAGAAAGCAACATATCATGTAGAGTGAGTGGAAGACAGAGAACTATACATATTTGCTCTATCACTGTACTAAAGAACTATAATAGAATCACAGATAAAAATTCACTATCATATCTTACTGTTTTGTTGACAAATTGAATGAATAGTGACCAAAGCTTCCTTTTGTGAAAAAGGGTTGTCCATTTGATACTTTAGACACTCCAACAGTAAGTTCAGGTCAGTCTTCATTTCTAAAGAACAAAAATTGCATTATTTAAAACTGAAAGTTTTCTTTCAAAAATTAACCAAATTTCACTTTCTAAATAATCTAACAAACAATAAAGATGTATAAAAGGATTCATTTGTTTGTTTTAGAGATGGAGATCTCACCATGTTGCCCAGGCTGGACTCTAACTGAAACCACCCTTTACAAATCAACAAATGGGTCCAAGACAAGAACTGTTGTAAGGGCCTAAAACTCTGCAAAGGCACAGGCCTAGCTAAAAATAATGATAATAATCAGCCACTGTCCCCTGTTGTTTGCTTCTCTGTAATTGCTATTCTGGAGTGACATAGCTGGTGGTCATAAAGATTCTTAATTTTCTCTATAGATAACACCACCCTTTTGAAACTTAACAGGCCCCACATTCCAGTGACTGGCTGACCCACCCAGACCAGAGGCCCATACAAAGAAACTGACTAAACTGGAATTGTGACCCCCCCACCCAGGAACTGACTCAACACAAGATAATTTCTACACTCCTATAATTTGGCCCCGAACCTAACCAATTAGCAAACTCAACTGCCTAATGCTTTGCCTGCTAAACTATCTTTAAAAACCCCATCTCCCAAATTCTCAGGGAGGCAGATTTGAGAAATTCCTTCCGTTTCCCTGCTTAGCACTCTGCAGAATTAAACCCTTTCTCCATCACAACCCTGACTGCCTCGGTGTACTGGTTCTTCTCTGTGCAGCGCGCAATACAACTTGCTTGGAAGGCAACAGAACTCCTGAGCTCAAGGGATCCTCCCTGCCTCGGCCTCCCGAGTAACTGAGACTACAGGCATTTGCCACTACACCTGGCTACAAGATGTTCTTGAAATAAAAGAACTGAAAATGAACTTCTTAGGTTCTTTGGTTTTCCCCTTGCATGAAATATAGGAACAGAAAATCTAAATATTATTCTCTTTAAGTAAAGCCATACTGGCTTAAATATCTGCCATTAGAAATGAAATGAATGAAAATGAAAATACAACATAACAGAATTTGTGGGATGCTACTAAAGCATTATTTAGGAGGAAATTTATAGAAGAAAGGTCACAGAACAATGACTTCAGCTTCCACCTTAAGAAACTAGAAAAAGAGGGGACACCTCAGTTGGTACTGAGCCTGTGTTCCTAGGCTTAAGGGGAAAAAAAAAAGAAACTAGAAAAAAAGCAGATTAAATTCAATGTAAGTAGAAGAAAGGAAATTTAAAGATCGAAGCTGAAATCGATGGAACAGAAAACAAAAAAGAGGAAGTTCTTTGAGAAGATCAATAAAACTGATAAACCTCTAGCCAGACTGATTAGGAAAAAAGAAGACACAAATTACCAATATCAGGAATGACAAAGATCACCATAGATTCTACAAATATTCAAAAGGTATACATACAACAAAAGAGTATTACATACAACTTCATATCTACAGATTCAACAACTTAAGGTGAAATGGACAAACTGCTTTAAAGACACAAGTCACCAATACTCACCCAAGAAGAAACAGATAACCTGAATAGTTTTTTATCTATGAAAGAAGTTTAAATCATACTTAAAAACCTTTCCACAGAGAAAACTCTGGGCTCAGAGGGTTTCATTTGTAAATTCTACCTAACACTTAAGGAAGAAATAATATCCATTCTACAAATATTTTTCCAAAAGTTTAAGGAATACTTTCCAACTTATTCTGAAATTGGTATTACCTTTATACCAAAGCCATTACAAAGAAAACGATAGACCAATATTCCTCATGAACACAGATGCAAAACGTCTAAACAATTTTAGCAAATCGAATCCAACAATATTAACATAACAATACATCATGCCCAAGTGGCTTTATCCCAGGAATGCAGGATTGATGTAAGATTTGGAAAAAAAAAAAAAATCAATGTAATGTAACAAATGAAAATTAAAAAGGAAAACCTTTTGGTTATCTCAATAGATATAGAAAGAACACTTGATAAAATCCAACATCCATTTCTAATTAAAGGAAAACAGTCTGCGAACTTGGAATAGAATAGAACTTCCTCAACCTGACAAAGTGTTTGCATCTAGAAATGAAAACCCTACAGTAGGCTGGGTGTGGTGGCTCACGCCTATAATCCTAGCACACTCGGAGGCCGAGGCAGGAGGATCCCTTGAGCTCAGGAGTTCAAGACCAGCCTGAGCAAAAGTGAGATCCTGTCTCTACTAAAAATAGAAAAAAGTAGCTGGGCATGGTGTTGGGTGCCCATAGTCCCAGCTACTCAGAAGGCTGAGGCAGGAGGATCGTTTGAGCCCAGGAGTCTGAGGTTGCTGTGAGCTAGGCTGACACTATGGCACTCTAGCCCGGGCAACAGAGCAAGACTCTGTCTCAAAAAAATAAAAAATAAACAACCCAATAAAACAGTGAGCAAAAGATTTGAACAGATACTTCCACAAAAAAGATGTATGGATAGCAAATGAGCACATGAAAAGATGCTCAACATCATTAGTCATTTGGGAAATGCAAATTAAAACCACCAGGAGATACCATTATATGCCCAACAGAATGACTAAAATTTTTTAAAAGACTGATCATAACAAAATTACCAAATTACCAATATCAGGAACAACAAAGATCACCATAGATTCTACAAATATTCAAAAGGTATACATACAACAAAGGAGTTGGCAAGGATGTCAAGGAACCGGAACTCCCATATACTACTGGTGAATATGTAAAATGGTACAGACTTTGAAAGACAGTTTAGTGGTTTTGTAAATTGTTAAATACATACCTACCATTTGATCCAGCCATTCCACTCCTAAGTATTTACCCTAAAGGAAATTTATGTCCACACAAATATTCATAGCACTACTATATGTAACAGCCCAAAAGTGTAAGCAACCAAAATGTCCATCAGCAGATGAATGAACAAATCATGGTATAACCATACAATGGAATTCTACTTAGCAATAAAAAGGAATTAACTACAGATGCATGCAGCATCACAGAGGAATCTCAAAATAATTATGCTGAATGAAAGAAGCTACCTAAAAAAAGAATACATACTGTACGATTCCATGCATTGAAAAAATGCAAACTATCTATGGTAACGGAAGGCAGATTAGTGGTTGCTTAGGGAAAGAGGGTCTAGGAAGGGACCGGAGGGAGCAATTACAAAGGAGCAGGAGGATATGTTCACTGTCTTTGATTTTGTTGATGCTTGCATGGCTATCTACATGTAAAACTTACCAAAATGTAAACATTTATTCACAACAAAACAGCAAAAAAGAGAAAACCATCTTCCTATAAAATTCTTTACTATAGTCTTTAAACAATTTCTTTTCTTGATTTTAAGGATTTAAATAAAATTATATATAGATTTTGGCATAATGCTTGAATTAACATTCAGATTTCTGAAAGATATAGGATGAAGGGAGGAAAAAAATATAAAGGAGCACACTAAAAGAAACTAAGATGTATTGTCAATCAATATGATAGTCTTCCTCTTGAAAGAAATTGAACTGGCAATTTGTTTCAATGAAATAATTCATGATTCAACTTGTTAGTGAAAAGCCATAGTACAAAGGTTATCATCAAGCTGTCTTTGTGCAAACATTTTTGATATTTTATACATTAACAGAAACTATAAGGTAAGTCTGACTGTATGGATAAGTAATAAACCACATCAACAACATGCCAAAGAAAAGTTTTTGAGGGGCAGGGTGGTTTTCAATTCTAGGCACAATGCAGGACACAAGAAACTTCTCCTTCATGTACTCCTCCATTCCCTTCTGTACTCCCTTCTCATACTTTGATATCTCCTATCATAATCCTTCCCTACCCAGCCAAAGCACCTACTAACATCTACAACTATCATGTTTCACCTTCCTTTTATCTTCTCTAGGCTAAGCAACCAAGTTCTTTCAATAATTCCTGAAGAAAATAAATAGCAAACAAATACTGAAGTGCATACAATACCAAAAGCACATGCAATAAAAGAAAATTTGATAAACTAGACTTAAAATTTAGAACTTTTGAGCTTCAAAAGATACTATAAAAAAGGTGAAAAAGCCCAGAATGGAAGAAAACATCTCCAAATCAGATATCCAATAAGGAGCTTGTGTTCAGAATAAAGAGCTCTTAAAATGTAATAATAAAAATATAACCTAATTAAAATGTATGAAATGGATTTGAATAGATACTTCTCCAAAGATAGACAAATTGCCAATAAGTACAAAAAAAGATGCTCAACATTGTTAGTCATTAGAGAAATGCAAACCAAAACCACAATCATATACCATTTCAGCCTGTTACTAAACAGCTGACTGACGGGAGTTGATGGATCAATACCTTTCACCCTTTGGCTGGGATGACTCTGAGGAACATGACTCTACAGTGGCTTCCATAATTTCCTCATAGAGTTAAGCTCCAGTTGCCCATAACAAGAACTTTCTTGATAATGTACTCTTCTGTCTTCCTTTTTCCTATCTCACTTCCCAGCCAGTGTTTCCTGGGATCACTTTCTCAAAAAAGTACTTGCACTCAAATCCTTGTCTTGGAGACTACTTCTGGGAGGAACCCAAATCAAGACATAAAATGGAAGAGTGAGATGTGGTACTAAGGTTGGAGATTTGACAAATGGAGTGTCATACATGGTTTGAGAGGGGCATCGCCAACAATTATCCCTACATCTCCAGTTTCAACTTCTTCCTCTCCTGTCTCTATAACCCTTTTAAGATTTTCCTGACATTACAACCTCCCTCTAGCTACTGCCATAAATCTTTAGCCAAGCTTTTAAAAAAAGTAAGCTTTCTTCAGATTTTCATTTCCCACTCAGACCTAAATATACTACAATCTGACTAAGATTTATTAAATTTACTATTAATAAAACAAATGATACCCCAAATGCAAAATGCAGTGGATAACTCAGTCCTCATCTATGACATCTGATGCTCTTAAGCAATCACTTTCTCATAAAGCATTCTCTTAAGGTACTGATTTCCAAGATACCACATTCCTGACTCTTTTCACCTTTCTAAAATGTTTTTCTTAGTCTTTTTTTAATGGCCCTCTTCCTCAGCTAAACCCTTATGTGAAGGTATCCATTAGGGAACACTATTCTCCATCTTTTTTTCCTTTATTATTTCCTCTCTGGTTAACTTCCATGCCTACAGATTCAGTTTCCATCCTTCTGAGGACAATTCTGAAATCTGTACCTCCAGGCATACTTTGATGGTGGTTCTCTCAGGTTCCCACTATTCTTGCATATGCTGCCATTAAATCAACTATCACATGGTATTGTAATAACCAGCATGTCTTTTCTCATTAGAATGTCAGTTTCCTAAAGCCAGGAATTATGTAATGGGCACACAGTAGGTGCTCAATATTTATGTAAATTACCAACGGAGTAGGTGCTCAATATTTATGTAAATTACTGATGGACTTTTTCATTTTCTGGATCCTGTCAGATAATATGCAGTATAGCCTACAAATTTAAATCTTATTCCATATATATGATCCATGAATTTCTCACCTTGTATGTTCTTTGTGTCCTCGCTTTCCATGCTTCTCTGTATTATATTTCCTTATATTTCATCTATAAGATAAAGGTATTTTCTCAATTTAAATCAATGTTTGAGAATGTCAGAGATATAAATGCAAAGGGGTAGGAAACAAACTGTTTTCCTAAAGCCAGAAGATCAGGGATTGAATCTGCAGCTTATTAAATGTATGATATTGGGCGGGTTGCTTAAATTCTGAGGCTCAGCTTCCTCACCTGTAAAATAGGAATGATATTCCTACTTCATAGGGTTGTTACAAGAATTACATTTGAAAACATACATAAACACCTCTGGCACCTGTAAGCACTATTAGCATTCAACCAATTTTATTTAAACAAATGAATGATTGGGTGACTGAATCAAACTGGTTCTCCTCTGGTCACTCAATCTTTATTCTTCTTTCCTGTAAATCATCCCATAGTTTCAGATTGAGCACCCCACCATGAATGAGAGGCTTAAAACACACAAACATACTTGCATGCATGCATGTATGCACACACTCTTTAGATATGCATTTCTCTTTACAAGCTAAATGAAAGGACAACCTTACTAATGAACTATCTCACAGAGAAAATATCTAAATCGTTGTCTCCAAGATTGACCACAGAGGACCTTAACCCACTGTTTTTGAGATTAATGGCCTATCTTTTAAGATTAACTAGCCTCCTGAGGAGATGTGTTCACAGCATCTGAAAATATCTGAGCAAACAAAAAAGAGGGTGTAAATCCTCCTCTACATTCACCAGACCAGTCTCCAGGAGCAGGAAAAAACAGGAGAAATGGACACCCTGACATCTTACAGGTGTCTCCTGCTAATTAGCCTACAGCAATAATTTTTCTTGACCCCTTTACAACCCACCAATAAAAAGTCCAAGCCGCCTGGCCGCAGCGCAGACACTTCCGTTTTTTCATGTGCTGTGCCCTCTCCCTTCTCTTTTTCCTTTCTCTCTCTCTTCCCCATCTCTCTCTCTGAAAAAGTAAAATAAACTTTTTACTTCTTCATATCCTAATCTTTGTGTTGAGAATTCTTTCTCTACCCGAGTATGAATTCTGACCCTAACACTAAGCTTAATACTAAAATTAACAACCTGTGGTTATTTTCAGCATGTTATTCTACCATTAAGCTTACATCTTTGTTTATATATCATTTGTTAGAAGAATTTTGAAAATAACTGGCAACCCTGATATAGCCTCTCACATGCCCTACTTTAAAATGTTAAGCTGATTTAGAAAAAGTGAGCCCAATTAACTTCTTAGAGCAACAAATCAGGATTCACAGAACTCTAAAATTCTTATTTCCAACATCACATTGTTAAGGAGAGATATCCAATTTTCCTTTTTATTTTTCATTCTCAATCTCAACATGAAAACAAAATTCCTAAGC